ACTAATACAATAAAACCTACTGCAATGTCATACAAAGCATGGAATTAGAAAATTTTCTAGTGTAGTTCAAACTCTACATGGTAATTAGAACCATAAAAGTAGTGTATATTTAACATGGAAATCAATATGAAGTACAGTTTTAACACATCTTAGCTGTGGCATCTTTTTTTTAATGGAAGGGCATTATCTCCTGTCTCTTTTTTTTTTGTATTTGCATTTTGAATGGATGTTTCACTCTGTTTGTTTTTTATGTGACTTATTAGGCATAAGACAACACTATAAAATGAAGAGTTCTCGATTAGATAATCTCTCCATTGTTTGCAGCAATGTGTAATGAACCATTATTGTGAGTGTAATTAGACTTTTCAGTCACAAAAAGGCCTAGAATCTAAGCTGCAATTCCTTCTTCTAAACTGCTAGTTCAGTAGAGGAATAGAATTGGTAAAGGGTAATAGAAAGCAAATGCAAAGAGATGGATGCTCTTGATGTCATACAAAGCTGTTCAGGCTATGAATAACTCTCTGTGCTGCACTTGCAGGCAGTTGTCGACTGTCGTATTTATTAGGTATGCACTTAAACTAAAAACTAGTATATTTGTCATCTTAAGAAGAGGCATATGGCACCGTTTAGCAATCTGTAAAATTAGTAGCCATTTTTAAACAAGCACACTTCAGTAGCACTAATTTTGTGCAATATATGTTTCAGGCAAAACATATTTTTTACTTGATTTGCTATATTTACTTGCATTGAGATTGTGTTCTGTTGAAGTACCAATCTTCCCTTAACAGCTATGACTGAAGTTGTTATACTGCTGCCTCAAATCCTTAAGTGTTACAATTCACATTGCTAGCTTCTTGTCTACGAGTAGGTATCCTCCACCAAGTTGCGGTAAATTATGGGACACCGAACATTTCTGGGATACAGGGAATGAAAGTTGCATAGTGTTGATATGGTTTTTGGCTACTGTTGTACAAGTCTATTTGACATTTTGACCTAAATGTTAGAAATTTGTTCTTAGGGCATGATAAGCTACTGAATCAGGTTGAGTTTTACACATGTTCTCCCCTGTAGTTATCATTATTCTTTCTGCATTGAAATGTGTTCTCTATTCCCCCACCTTTGCCTACTGCTGTCATCCAATTCGCAGTGGTCCTCCTTTTTTCATCCTTATGGACATTGGACAGCAGAAATTGTTTATGTGCTTTCCGCAGTTTGATTCCATAGGATGCTGGCGTCTTGTGCAGAGGCAACCACGGCAAAGGTCGATGGCGGCCAACAAGAAAGGGCTGCAGATGGTGCAGAGGAGGGATCACCATCAGATCTTCTGTGTTTTTGCCACTTTGATCATTTGTGTGAAAACTCTGTTATTAGTTACTGGAATCACATTGAAATCCTGTGGAACAAATCAGCTCTAGTAGATGGCGTCTGCTTGCTGGCTAGCTGCACTAGCCACTAGGCACTGTGCTGGCTGTAGCGGCTGTTGTCTGGCCAGCAGCCAGCATAACTGATCACAGCAGAAGCAGATAAATTCGGCTCTGTTCTGCCCCGCTCTCTGGTTTGATTATGGTTGTATTGCACCCTGTTGCGTTTATACTTTATGCACGCACTTGCATGCTTGATTACTAAAGTAACGAACAATCTGAAATATTTAAAACTGCAGTAACCACCACAACAATCTAGAGGAGACTTGGAGTGTCAGCTGTGGCTGCTTCTCACCAATGTTCAATCGAGAACAACTTGAGTGTTTGGTCTTTTGAGATTATCTTGCACGGTATATTAGCCTCACAAGTAGAAAAAAATATGAGTTATTGAAGCATTCTTTTATCTAGGTGATGCATGTTTAAGTTACGATATTTGTCAACTTATACATCTTATTATGGTCTTTTTTTATTCTTTTTTGCTGAATGAAATTGTATCAACTACAATATATTTATCAGGTTTTTCATGTTATATTATTTCGTTTAAACTTTAGGTGTTCATAGCAATGCAAGGACCAATACCTAGTTATTAGCAAAACATACACAAAAGTTATAAACACCAAGATGCCGTTTGGAAGACTAAATCGGTTCTGATTCTACGAAGAAACAACAGGAACGGTACCAAACGCAACAACGGGCATGAAATGGAGTGAAATGTTCAGGCATGAAATGGTATGGAATGATTCGCTTTTTCTTTTTTGGAGCTCGAGATGCAGGAAGGTTGGTTTCGCATGGATTCTAGTTTCGCTACTGTGTACTGATAATTATAGTTTTTTTAGTTATAATAATCCTTTCTTAGTGCAACAAGTTAAATTGAGTTGTATTGAAATTTTTCTTCACCCACAAAAAGTTTGGAATTTTTTGAAGCATATTTTGTTTATTATATGATATTTATAAGAAAAAATATTTTATTTGGGAATTAGAATCTAGAGGCTAACATTCAAAGGTTTCGTAAAGTAATTTTTTTCATCACCGAAACATTTTCTCAGAGAATCTAGATTCGAAACATTTCTACGAGAATTTGGATCCCTACGGGCGCGTACTCAATAGTGCTGAATACCTAGCTATCTGAGTTGGCGGTGAAACAATAAATAAAGCAAGCAAACTCTAAAGGTGAAAGAAAAGAAACAACATGCAAGATAGGACTGTTGGGCAGTTTGCGAGACCATTGTTTCACTCCTCACTAATGTCACGTTTTTCTCTACTCTCTCATCTCCACGCCAGCCCAAAATGACCTCAACTAGCGACCTAGTTACCCCCCATTGGGGATTCCCTAATTGTGTCTGACTTTGGCATTCCATCAACGCAACCCCTTTGGTGTCTGTCACATGTTGCCGGTGTCGAAGGCAAAGTGGTAGGTGACCGCGGATGGCCATGACAATCTGCTTGCCATTTCTATTGGGCAGCAACGTCGCAATTAGGCAGCACAAGCACAAGCTCACGGCCATCGCAACCAAATTGATCTACTTGTTATTTCCATAGGGAATCAGCATTGCGTCTAGGCAGCACGAACTCATAGTCAATCACCGTGACTACAATCTCACGATGAAGGACCTAGGGATTATTAATCGGTCAACTTGTAGAAGTTGTCGTGCGGGGAGACGAGATCAGTGCAGCGATCTACTTGTCATTTTTGTGGGTTGGTGACATCATGATCAGATCATGGATCGGAGACGACGTTTGGGATCAAGAAGTGGATGGATGTCAAGAGGGAACCTCAAACACCGATGCCGAAGTTGATCACTCTTGGATCCTAGCCCGGTGACAATAATGTTCTCTGATGGTGATGGGGTTCTGTTGGTCCTTGCCGGTTCATTTCGTATTGATATGATCGTCGTCCCTGATAATTGTGTTTGCTACCGATGCACTTTGCACTGCCGGAGACGGTTTCTTTGCCGAGTGCTTTTTATCGGGCGCTCGGCAAAGAGGTATTTGCCGAATGCTAGAGAGAAAACACTCGGCAAACAACCGACACTCGGCAAGAGAGGTGGTTTACCGAGTGCCGAGCACTCGGCAAACAATAACACTCGGCAAAGATCAGGTTTGCCGAGTGTCGGGGCAAACCAGAACACTCGGCAAAGGGCTGCCGTCGTTAACGGCCGGCAGTCGCCGTTAACCCTTTGCCGGGTGTCTTCTCCTAACACTCGGTAAACCATATTTTTTTTTTCACTTTTGACCTCCAAACTTTTTCTGCAGTCCTCGTACAATACTTGGTACTCCATGTTCCAATGTGGCATATTTCTCGGACTTTTTTCTATATTTCTTTAATTTATTTCATTTAATTGAATTTTCTTGGATAATTCAAATTATAACCGCTAGTCATTCGAATAATGAAAAAATGATATTCATGTTATTTAGTATAATGTGAGGCCGTATCCAGGAATAGACCACCAATTTCGAACATCTTGTTCACAAAACATGACCACGAACTTGCGGTCGAGTTATTTTTAAATTCTATAAAAAGCAAACGAAGTTCGAAAATCATGAAACTTGTTAAGATGTCATGATATCATATGTGGAGGCGGTGATAAAAATTTGAGAAGGTTTCGCGCAAGTTGTCACGTACGATGCTTGCAAACTGAAGAATCTCCGAAGAAGTTTCATGATTTCGTGAAGAGGGCGACGAGGTGGTAAGCATCGTACGTGACAAACTTGTGCGAAACCTCCTCAATTTTTTATCACAGCCTCCACATATGATATCATGACATCTCGACAAGTTTCAAGATTTTCGATCTTCGTTTGCTTTTTATAGAATTTAAAAACAACTCGACCGAAAGTTCGTGGTTATGTTCCGTGAACAAGATGTTCGAAATTGGTGGTCTGTTCCTGGATACGGCCTCACATTATACTAAATAACATGAATATCATTTTCCCATTAATTTTTTTTCATTATTCGAATGACTAGCAGTTATAATTTGAATTATCCAAGAAAATTCAATTAAATAAAATAAATTAAAAAATATAGAAAAAGTCCAAGAAATGTGCCACATTGGAACATGGAGTACCAGGTATTGTATGAGGACTACAGAAAAAATTTGGGGGCAGAAAGAAAAAAAATAAAAACACTTTACCAAGTGTCTGCGTTTGACGCTCGGCAAAGGACTGCTGGCATTCGACAAAGAATTTTAATTTTTTTTTAAAAAACCCCTCTTTGCCGAGAGCCAGGCCAGGTGCCACTCGACAAAAAATTTTAAAAAATTTTAAAAAATACTTTGCCGAGTGCCAGATCGAAGGCATTCGACAAAGAATATCTTTTTTTTTTTTAAAAAAAAACCTCTTTACTGAGTGTCCGGCCAGATGACACCGAAAGAGAATTAAAAAAATTAAAAAAAATACTTTCTCGAGTCGGATCAAGTGCCCTCGGCAAGGGGCGATTTAACCCCGCCGGCCCAGCCGGGGCCACACACCGCACACACGCACGCAGGCAGCTGACCGCGCCAGCGCCGCCGCCCCCGCCCGCGCCCGCGGCAGCGCCGCCCCCTATCCCCAACCTCGTTGTGCGGCACTCCGGCGGCGGCGAGTATGGTGAAGGGACGGCAGGGCCAGCGAGTCAGGTACGCGGCCGCCACACCAGCCTGCTACGTTCCCCCGCATCCCGTCGCCGGGGTAAGCAAGCATCTGATCTGACCCGTCGTCTCCGTTCGTTTTGTTTCCGGCGCAGGATGTACGTGCGGGGCACGATCCTGGGCTACAAGCGCTCCAAGTCGAACCAGTACGAGCACACGTCGCTGCTGCAGATCGAGGGCGTCAGCACCAAGGAGGACGTGGCGTGGTACGGCGGCAAGCGGATCGCCTACGTGTACAAGGCCAAGACCAAGAGCGACGGCACCGCCGTCCGCTGCATCTGGGGCAAGGTCACGCGCCCGCACGGCAACTCCGGCGTCGTCCGCGCCAAGTTCCGGTCCAACCTCCCGCCCAGCTCCATGGTGAGCCTCTCCACTGCTGGTGTATTTTTTTTGTTTTTTGGAGTACTCGGTATTTTTTTTGTCTGCCTTTTTGATGGGTGTTTATAATGTTGTTGCAGGGTAAGAAGGTCCGCGTGTTCATGTACCCCAGCAGTGTTTGATTCTAACCGAGGTAGAATGCCTTCTCACCCTTTAGTCGTTTGAATGTGTGGTGTGTTGCTTGCTGGATATCAGTTTACATATCAGCTTTAATGCTACTCTATGCAAAAACTTTAGCTGTCAGATTTAATACAACTCTTATCAGTGTTCCATGATGCATATGCTTAGATGTCAAGTTGAACACTTCTCTATCAGTGTTAATGCAAGCTATTGATTGTGTCTTGTATGTTGGCGATGTAAACCTTCAAAGGCTGTCTAATCAGAATGTGAAGCTGCGGTCTTAGGTTGCCCTGTATTTGATCCTTCTGTTGTTTGTGTCTAATTAAGGGTCCCATGCCACTTGGGGGGAAGCTCTCCTTTTAGCTTCGAAATACCCGCAGGTTCTCTGCGGGGTGCTCGGATGTTGGGGCCCTAGAGCAAATGCAGTGGTCTCATAGTACGAGGCTGTACTTTGGTTGATGGGTCTCTCATCAACCGCCACCTCATAGCCTTGCCTCCAATGACCACAACATTCATTATCCATGTCTTTACATTTGTGCTCTCTCGTGTGGCAACATGTTTGGAGTTTGAGATGGTTCTGTTTGATTATTGTGTAATCGTATTGTAGCTCGGCTCTGCATTATATGCCTTTCTATTTAGGTGATTATGTATCTATCTTTCACTAGGCTGTTGAACAGTTTTAGACTATGTTGCAGACTTAAAAAAACTGTTGACGCATTGGTCTGAGCTAGAAAACTGTATTCTATATCCTGCTTGGTTTGTCTTTCTTGTCGTAAATTGTGCCTTACTAGGTAGTCAATACACTCATGCTATTGCCTTTAATGGTTATCCAGTCCTACCCTGTCGTTGCTGCCACAGCAGTTAAGGAATCGTTGCCTTGGCACGTCACCGCCTCTGTCCGGCGGAGCCAGCCAAGTCTGTCATTTCTTCTGCTTGTGTTTTTATTGCTTGATTTGGATCTGTTTTCTCTTCTGTGTCCTGTATTTTGATTGCCGTCATGTGTTCATTGCTTGATTTTCGATCTGTTATCTCTTCTGTTGTTCCTCTTTCTTCCTCGTATGCAGAGGAAAGCTAGGTTGTAAGGGCAATGATGATGCAAAGTCATGCACCACTCTGAATGAGGGGATTTTCTCTCTTTGGGCTGACAAACAAACTTTCTACCCATTTTTCGTCTGAGCCTTCTACTTACAAGTGTGCTTTCTTCTATCTCCATTTGTTCGTGCTGCTTAATGTGATACTTATTTGGTTCCGTTTCGTGGAGTTCTTGAGTGATACCTGAGAACTAGATGATGTGGGTCGACAGATCCAACCATGATGCGGACTGAATCTTATTTGAGGTCAAATCTAATTGCCGCTGATGATTCTCGAGTTTACCTCCCCTCTGTCTGTGCTTGTCCTTATTTTGTTTTGGATTTGTTGCTTTGAATCAGTTTCCATGAATATAATGGTTTAAAAGAGATGAAGCCAATTTGCAGAGCAAAGGGGCCAGATAAGTGGCGATCTTTGCATTGAAGGTTGGCGACAACAAAACTGCAGTTCTCCGTGCCGCTCAGATTTCCATCTGTTCTGTGATGGCCTCGAACAAGCTGCTACATCATCTCTTATCTGTGATCTAAGCTACTCCCTCTGTCCCTGAATAAATCATTTCCTAGAGCTGTCCTAAGTTTGGTTGATCTCCCCTGAGTTAAAAGGTAACTAATCTAAGCAAATGCAGTGGTCTGATAGTACGAGGCTGTTGTTTGGTTGATGAGTCTCGCATTGATCACTTCCTCACAGCCTTGCCTCCAATGACCATTGGTCACAACATTCATTATTCTTGTCTTCACATTTGTGCTCTCTCGCGAGGCAACGTGTTTGGAGTTTGAGATAGTTCTGTTTGATTATTGTGTGTAATCATATTGGAGCTCGTCCCCGCATTATATGTCTTTCTATTTAGATGGTTATGTGTCTATCTTTCACTAGGTGGTTGAACAGTTTTAGACTATGACGCAGACTTAAAAAGTGTTGAGGTATTGGTCTGAGCTAGAAAACTTTAGCATATCATTTGAATTTCTCTTTAGTTTACTAGACGTGGGACTCTAAATACAAAATCTTTAGCATGGGCTGGAATTTTGATATATTGAATCTGTTTTAAAATATATGACGTTTATGCCAAGCTAATCACTTCATTGCATTTTAAAAAAAAGAAGGGGTACTGTTTTTAGAGCGCAATGTTGATCTTTGTATTTTGGGGTTTTTCTACTGCTCAATGCTATACTAGTGTGGGGTGTTACTTAAATCTTTATTTGCGTCCTTTATAGTTGTAAATCAATGTATAGTTGTAAACTCACAAATTCCTCCATTTTGAATGTAGCAGGTATCTCACTATGATGTCAAGCTTTTACCTTGAAGGAGGTTGATCCGGAAAGCTTCTGACGACGATTTTGAGTAGTTTAGCATAGGAGCTTCCTCTTTTTCTTTCACTGAACAGGTTTGGCTGTGATTTTCAACTGACAGCTTAAATCAAGCGTAACTCTGTTTTGTTGTGTTGAAATGAAGCAAAGCTGGGATGTTTCAACCTGCGAGTTAATGAGTTAATAAAGGGTATTAGGGAAATCAACCAAATGTATAAAGAAGCAATAAAAGGTATGCTGGAATTAATCCTTTGTTTGCCGAGTGTCTTGACAGGACACTCGGCAAATAGGCTACCTTTGCTGAGTGTCTTGCCGGTGGCACTTGGCACAGTGGCCACCTTTGCCGAGTGTCTGAGCCAACGGCGCTCGGCAAAGCGGCGACCTTTACCGAGTGCTTGACCTTGACACTCGGCAAAGCCGCCGTCACGGTGGTGCTCGCCGTTACGGCGACTTTTCTTTGCCGAATGTCAGATTAGCACTCGGTAAAGGCTTTGCCGAGTGCCCGATAAAGTGCACTCGGCAAAGAGGTCTTTGCCGATAAATTGTTTGTCGAGCACCCTTTGCCGAGGCAAAGAAGCTGAATCCGGTAGTGTTGAGAGTACGGACATAATCTAGCAAAGGAAATCTTTGCCTCTAGTGGCTCATAAAAAAACATGCTTCTCATCAACTTTTGGTGGCTTATCTTCTTCACTTCATGGGGACACTTTGACGTGGTCGATGTGACTCAGCATGCAAACTTCATCACCATCGCCAATTGCTGAGAGAACAAGCTACCTCTCATCCCTGAAGACGCAAGTGAGCTTTCAATGTCCTCGTCATCTACACCTGGTGGAACCTTTGGAAAGAGCGCAATCGAAGAATCTTTAACACTAATCCTTCCTTGGTCCACCAGGTCGCAGGGCGGATCAAGGAGAATATGGATATGCATAAAAGAGCACATTGTTGACAATTGATTTAGCTTCCCTGGGAGATGAGTTTTCCCTCCCCCTCCTTTCTTACTAGGATTATTATGCTCTGAGCTTGAGGCGTTTTTGTTTTGGGCTTTGGCCACCCTGTATATATACTCTCTATCTCTTTTAATTGAAATGTAGAGCTCCTGCCAATTTGTCCAAAAACAAATATTTCAACTTGGGCTCCATTGTATTCTCGAGAAGAGTCATCAGAGATACCGCGATGAAGTCATGGTGTTGACGTGTTGTGCATTGGCTCAGGCACCATTTTCATTTGATGCCAGTTGTATTTCATCTACAACCCTTTGAAGTCTCACCCTGTCATCATTCTCATATGACTCTAATTATATTTCATCTACAACTCTTTGAAGTTTGACCATCTTACTCTCTATTCATGAGAAACGACAACACCCTTTTGCAGAAAAACGAGCTTAGGTGATGAAAAAAAACCTTGACGTCCATTAATTTCAAAAGTCAAAGTAGATCAAAATGTTGCAATATCAAACTCGTCGGGCCTTCTGTCTGCAAGGTCATGAGGGCCACTAGGGCAGTATTGATCTCTTCCCTGTCATTGTTGTAGTCATCCTTCACCTCGATGTTTCCTTCTGTGTTCACCACCACCAGCTCTACAGAATCCACGCTGGCATTAGGTTTGCATCAACAAAGATTACTCAACCAATTCGGTAGGGATACAACGTAAGAGTAGGAGGAAACGTAGGACCACATGAGAATCTAAGGGCAACTCCAACCAACGTCCTATCCTAACCCTCGTCTCATTTTGAGGGTCTAAAACGCAAAAACAGCTCTCCAACCGGTCTCCTATCGGACCCCCGAAGGATGAGGACGCCTCATTTCTCTCTCCTCGTCCCCCACATCTGAGGGACTCCGATCCGGAGCCTCATCCGCCGGAGAGGACCAATGGTTGTCTTCCCACGCCCCCCCCGGAGTTCTCTGAGCCGGTACGTCCCCATCCTCCTCTTCTCGTTTTGGCGTCGCCCATGGCCGCCGCTGCTCACGTGCCTGCGTAGATCCCTTCTGTTGCCGCTGCGCACTTGTGCCAAGGCCTGCGGATCTCGCCCCTGCTGTTGCGCCTGCCAAATCTGCCTCCCGCTCACCCGTGCTTCGCGACTTGCTAGAGCTCGCGACCTGTTGCGCAGCCTGCCGGAGCCGCCGTCTGTTCGCTCCCTATTTGCCGGCCTCCCGGAGTTTGCACGTGCTGCTGGCCCCTTGGTGCACGGCCGACTGCAGGTCGCCCCTTGCTGCGCAGCCAGCTGCAGCTCGCTCCTGCATTTGGATTTGTTTAATATGTGAAGAACGACTGTTGCAGCTTGCACCTTGATGCGCTGTATGTGTCAATTAGGCCTTTTTTGGATTTATTTAATAGCTGAAGAAGGTTATGTAGATTATGCGATTACGAGATGGCCAAAATTTTCAGTAGAACTTATCTTAAATTCATAAGATTTTTTAGACCTATTGAGTATTATCTGGTTGTTGTAAACAAATTAAGTCTTCTCATTTAGTTGTTCAAGTTGATTTCTGTGTGTTCTTAGAATTATTCAGAGTTGGGTTGATCTGCTCTCAGCAATGGGGACACCAATGCAGAGTTATGTTGATTTGCTCTCAAACAATGGGGACACTAATGATCTATCTTTTGATGAC